ATTGGTAAATCATAAGACATAACACAAATTACTGATGACATAAGTTGAAAGAATGACATACTATGTCATAATTATGATGCAAAATTATGAGATAAAAAGTTTTAATTATAAGATGAAAGTAAAAAAACAAAACAAGAATGACAAAAGTCACAACAATGACATACTAAGTCATAATTATGACACGAAGTATCAAAATTATGAAAGTGATGATTATGACAAGTCGAAATCATGAAAAAAGTCATCACAAAAAGTCGAAATTATCAGATAAAAAGTCATAATTACGATAAAAGATGAAAGTCTAAGAAAAACAAGAACGACAAAAGTCAATCATGACATGAAGTATCAAAATTATGATCGTGGTGATTGACAAGTTGAAATAAAAAAAAAATCATGACAAAAAGTTAAAATGATGAAATGTCATAATTATGATAAAAGATGAAAGTCTAAGAAAAAAACAAGAATGACACAAATCACAATAATGAAGTATCAAAACGATGAAAGTGATGATTATGACAAGTCGAAATCATGAAAAGTCATGACAAGTCGAAATTGAGATAAATCATAATTAAGAAAAAAAATGAAAGTCTAAGAAAAAAACAAGAACGACAAAAGTTGCAATAATGACATGCCAAGTCATAATCATGACATGAAGTATCAAAATTATGAGTGATTATTATAAGTCAAAATCATGAGATAAAAAAGTTGTGACATAAGTCAAAATTCTGAGATAAAAAGTAAAAAAGACAAGTCATAATTTAGACTTTTTGTCATCATTTTGACATCTCATAATTGACTTATGTCAGAATTATCATCTCATACAATTTAGACTTTTTTATTTGATGACTTATCCATAATCCAATACTTTTACTGTTTACCACTGTTATTCTTCTAGCTATTTACCTAAAGCGGCTAATTAATCAGAGGTCTCGCACAATCACATGAAAAAACGTAATTCCTGTTGAAAAAGATGATGAATTGTATAAATGTTCACAGATGTGAGATTTGTTAGGGTCTGTGCTAACGCGAGGTCTATAAAAATGTTATGTATGACTTGGTATGGATCAAATCCAGTGATCAGCTATTATTTTCATCTAATACAATGTTCATGTGTTTTTATATTCATCACCATTACTTTGCCCCTCTGATGGTCATAAACACGGTGGATGAGTAGTCTTAAAATATCTGACAGGGAAAAGTATATGCTTGCTAAAATGAAGGACATGCTTGTATAAGACTTTAGTGTAGGTTTCTGCAAAGACAAACATGGCAGATCCATTTAAAGAAGTATATTTCAAACTGTTTTGATATCATTTATATATAATTTTAAAATGTAATGATGCTACTGAGCTTGCTAAGAGCTCTTGAAAGATAATGTCATCCCTCTATGGCATCTCATCAGCTTTTACTGTGCCGTCTGCATTTGGTTTGCTTCCTGACAGAAGAGAAATCAGCCGTCTACCTCCCTTTGAGACAGCCAACCTCAGGAGTATGAGCTGCACTGCAAAAAAACACTCAAACATGCAGCAACGTTACATAACGTTATAGAACAATCAATGCTGCTGTTGTTAATGTTCAAATCATTGCTGCTCTTTCGAACGTTCTATATTTAAAGCATCCTAAAAATATTTGTATTAAACAATACTGTCATGAGAGAGGTCAGAGGTCAAACCCATGCTAGTAAAGACAGCACAAAAGAAGAGCTGGTGCTCCAAAGGCTGATAGCCACTGGATGGCAGCAATGTTCTGTTCTTTTCCTTACACACTTTTGTTCAAATTGGCAAGAGATTATAGCTCTGCTTTGGTAAATATCCATAAACAGCTTCTCTTTGTTGCAGTCTAAATGTTTATTTAAACATGTAGAAGATTTGACTGCTTAAGAAAGTGTGTGCCAATGTGGCTAGATCACAAATCTTTTGAAAGGTTTTGTAAGTCACACCAAAAATGCATTTGTGTTTTAAAAGCTAGATAATGTATGTTTTTGCACTTTTGCCAGAAAAAAAACAGGATGCATGACAGCTTCCATGATCGCTCCAATGAGATGTTTATTATATAGTATGTATTACTATAACTAAGCATAAATTGACTATACGAGCATATCGCAAATCACTGATCTTCTATGAACATATTTGCATTTTGATAAAACATCTCATGTTTGACAATCACTTCAGGAACAAACAAAAGAAAAGATTAAAAATAAACTTATGAAAAAGCCACTAAAGTTTTGGATTTACATTTATTTGCATAAATATCTATGTACACATTAACCATATCATGACACCATTATGAAGGGCAAAAAACGAACAAACAATCACAGTATAACTAACACGCAAGCTGTGCACATATGTTGAATGTAAAAAAACGAACAAAAAGAATAAATGACAAGTTGTTTTTAGTTGTCGGCCGGCTCTATGGACTCAGAGCGCTGCTTATTCAGTCTGTCTGCGTAGAAACGAAAAGACTCCTGCGGGACATAAAAAACAAATGAAGCTTTTTTTTTTTTTTTTTTGATATTTTTAGTCAGTAAAAGGCTAAACTAATTGTACTTTGGGTGCGTGTTGTGTGTAGTTGTGCGTTTCCTGCCCTCTGGGGCAAACTAATAACAACCACACGGTCCAAACAAATCCTACGCTCGTTTCATCTTACAAACCGTATTAATTCACAAATAACATATTTACTCGTTCCGCCTCCCGTAATTAAGCACAGGCGCCTGTAAACCGCACTCGCTCTCCATTTTTGGAAGGTGAGTGCTTTTAGAAGATTACCATTTCTCCAAACAATGTATATTCCCTTATTAATGGGGTAATTAAAGTCGATAAATAACAGCTGCTGGGTGCGAGAAATGAGGCCAGATGTGAACGGCACCTCAAATCTCTCCTTATCGCCTCTCTCCGGAGACTCTTTGTACTGTGGTATTAGCGGTGGCCGTGGGACTGGAGGAAGAAGCGGGATGGAGTGCTACCTGAGATTGCTTTGTGAGAACTTAAATGGTGCACTGAGAGCTTAGCGGTGCGTGAGGGCTGGCAGGCTCCTCTAACGCTGGTGAAAAACACCGGAGCACGGTTCTGACAGATAGTAAATAATACACGAGAGCGTGAGGTGGACTCTTAAGGTGCTGTAAAAGTAGGGGTACTTCAGGTGAGCAACATGACATGAAACTGGACTCTAATCAACTAGTGCTTAACCAACTTCAAAAATGGTTATTAAATAAAGCAGCTTGACATCCAATTACTGTTCAAAAAAATCAATAAAAAAATCACAACTGCCCACACAATGTGTACACAGCATTTGCGGTTCATGAAGACGCTCATGATTTGAAGTGGGCAATTTGTTGCATAATACTTCCACTGTTCAAAAGTATAGGGTTGGTACAATGTTTTAATGTTTTCAAGAAAAGTATCTTATGCTCATCAAGGCTGCATTTATTTAATCAAAAATACAGTAAAAAATGTACTACTGTGAAACATTATTAAAATAACTGGATTATTTGATCAATAGAAAGTTCAAAAGAACAGCATTTATTTTAAACGGAAACCTTTGTAACATTAAAAGTGACCGTATAGACATGTATAGTCAATTTAATGCATCCTTGCTGAATAGAAGTATTCATTTATTAAAAAAAATAAAATACTTACTAACCCCAAACATTTGTAAGAAGGGCTAAACAATATAAACTATATTTGTGATGATTTTGCTGGACATGAAAATCACGAATATCAGAATTTGGACATAAAGTTTCCTTCTACACTTTCCAGCCTTTTTTGCCTCATGACTTCAGAGTATGAAAGAGTTAAGACCGATGTTTTTTAATGCATTACGGTATATATAAAGCTGTAGCAAAAATGGCATTCAAGTTCAAGTTCAGTGAGTCAGATCAAACTGTCCATTGAATTGAATCGATTCAAAACTCTAAATGAACAATTTGCCTGCATAATCATACAAAAATGTTCAACAAAATCTAGGTAAATACTGTGCTTAATTACATTGTATAAATTATCATTTTTTTATTACATTTATATTTATTATTACTATATACAATCTTGTGCTCATTCAATAGAAAATATTACATTTTTGACTACATATTTTTACTACACGTAGTTAAAACAAACATTTCAATCTGTTGCAACATCTACTTTTGCAGGCGGACAGAAGTGAAGTATTTTTACTCTGCTGTAAAAGCACTTTTCAAGTGTCAGTACTTTATCAGAGTGTTTTTCTTTAGAAAACTGTACTCCACAACATTCCAAAGCATAATATTGTACTTTTTACTGCACTTCGTTTCATATTAAATATAATTGAATACTTAATTACATTAGAAATCTATTACTTTCTTCCGTTTACTCAAGCAAAAGTAATTCAAAGATTTACTTCAGTACAAGAAAGTAATACATTTTTAATGTTCTGAAGTATTAAAGGTAAAAACAACAACTTTAATTTATGAAATGTGGTGCAGTAAAAAAGTATGACTTAAAAGTATGCTTTGGAATGTAGTGAAGTAAAGTTTTCCAAAGAAAACCACTCAAACTACAGAAACTTATTTAATTGACTTGAGTAAAGTAAAAATACTTCACTACTTTCCACCTCTGCTAATGAATACTGATTATTACCGGAGGCTCGTCGAAGGGAACAGTTGCTCACATGTAGAAGATTTGACTGCTTAAGAAAGTGTGTGCCAATGTGGCTAGATCACAAATCTTTTGAAAGGTTTTGTAAGTCACACCAAAAATGCATTTGTGTTTTAAAAGCTAGATAATGTATGTTTTTGCACTTTTGCCAGAAAAAAAACAGGATGCATGACAGCTTCCATGATCGCTCCAATGAGATGTTTATTATATAGTATGTATTACTATAACTAAGCATAAATTGACTATACGAGCATATCGCAAATCACTGATCTTCTATGAACATATTTGCATTTTGATAAAACATCTCATGTTTGACAATCACTTCAGGAACAAACAAAAGAAAAGATTAAAAATAAACTTATGAAAAAGCCACTAAAGTTTTGGATTTACATTTATTTGCATAAATATCTATGTACACATTAACCATATCATGACACCATTATGAAGGGCAAAAAACGAACAAACAATCACAGTATAACTAACACGCAAGCTGTGCACATATGTTGAATGTAAAAAAACGAACAAAAAGAATAAATGACAAGTTGTTTTTAGTTGTCGGCCGGCTCTATGGACTCAGAGCGCTGCTTATTCAGTCTGTCTGCGTAGAAACGAAAAGACTCCTGCGGGACATAAAAAACAAATGAAGCTTTTTTTTTTTTTTTTTTGATATTTTTAGTCAGTAAAAGGCTAAACTAATTGTACTTTGGGTGCGTGTTGTGTGTAGTTGTGCGTTTCCTGCCCTCTGGGGCAAACTAATAACAACCACACGGTCCAAACAAATCCTACGCTCGTTTCATCTTACAAACCGTATTAATTCACAAATAACATATTTACTCGTTCCGCCTCCCGTAATTAAGCACAGGCGCCTGTAAACCGCACTCGCTCTCCATTTTTGGAAGGTGAGTGCTTTTAGAAGATTACCATTTCTCCAAACAATGTATATTCCCTTATTAATGGGGTAATTAAAGTCGATAAATAACAGCTGCTGGGTGCGAGAAATGAGGCCAGATGTGAACGGCACCTCAAATCTCTCCTTATCGCCTCTCTCCGGAGACTCTTTGTACTGTGGTATTAGCGGTGGCCGTGGGACTGGAGGAAGAAGCGGGATGGAGTGCTACCTGAGATTGCTTTGTGAGAACTTAAATGGTGCACTGAGAGCTTAGCGGTGCGTGAGGGCTGGCAGGCTCCTCTAACGCTGGTGAAAAACACCGGAGCACGGTTCTGACAGATAGTAAATAATACACGAGAGCGTGAGGTGGACTCTTAAGGTGCTGTAAAAGTAGGGGTACTTCAGGTGAGCAACATGACATGAAACTGGACTCTAATCAACTAGTGCTTAACCAACTTCAAAAATGGTTATTAAATAAAGCAGCTTGACATCCAATTACTGTTCAAAAAAATCAATAAAAAAATCACAACTGCCCACACAATGTGTACACAGCATTTGCGGTTCATGAAGACGCTCATGATTTGAAGTGGGCAATTTGTTGCATAATACTTCCACTGTTCAAAAGTATAGGGTTGGTACAATGTTTTAATGTTTTCAAGAAAAGTATCTTATGCTCATCAAGGCTGCATTTATTTAATCAAAAATACAGTAAAAAATGTACTACTGTGAAACATTATTAAAATAACTGGATTATTTGATCAATAGAAAGTTCAAAAGAACAGCATTTATTTTAAACGGAAACCTTTGTAACATTAAAAGTGACCGTATAGACATGTATAGTCAATTTAATGCATCCTTGCTGAATAGAAGTATTCATTTATTAAAAAAAATAAAATACTTACTAACCCCAAACATTTGTAAGAAGGGCTAAACAATATAAACTATATTTGTGATGATTTTGCTGGACATGAAAATCACGAATATCAGAATTTGGACATAAAGTTTCCTTCTACACTTTCCAGCCTTTTTTGCCTCATGACTTCAGAGTATGAAAGAGTTAAGACCGATGTTTTTTAATGCATTACGGTATATATAAAGCTGTAGCAAAAATGGCATTCAAGTTCAAGTTCAGTGAGTCAGATCAAACTGTCCATTGAATTGAATCGATTCAAAACTCTAAATGAACAATTTGCCTGCATAATCATACAAAAATGTTCAACAAAATCTAGGTAAATACTGTGCTTAATTACATTGTATAAATTATCATTTTTTTATTACATTTATATTTATTATTACTATATACAATCTTGTGCTCATTCAATAGAAAATATTACATTTTTGACTACATATTTTTACTACACGTAGTTAAAACAAACATTTCAATCTGTTGCAACATCTACTTTTGCAGGCGGACAGAAGTGAAGTATTTTTACTCTGCTGTAAAAGCACTTTTCAAGTGTCAGTACTTTATCAGAGTGTTTTTCTTTAGAAAACTGTACTCCACAACATTCCAAAGCATAATATTGTACTTTTTACTGCACTTCGTTTCATATTAAATATAATTGAATACTTAATTACATTAGAAATCTATTACTTTCTTCCGTTTACTCAAGCAAAAGTAATTCAAAGATTTACTTCAGTACAAGAAAGTAATACATTTTTAATGTTCTGAAGTATTAAAGGTAAAAACAACAACTTTAATTTATGAAATGTGGTGCAGTAAAAAAGTATGACTTAAAAGTATGCTTTGGAATGTAGTGAAGTAAAGTTTTCCAAAGAAAACCACTCAAACTACAGAAACTTATTTAATTGACTTGAGTAAAGTAAAAATACTTCACTACTTTCCACCTCTGCTAATGAATACTGATTATTACCGGAGGCTCGTCGAAGGGAACAGTTGCTCCAGCTTCCTTGTATAGTAGCGCCAGTCTCTTGAGAGTCAACTCATCAGCCTTCACCCCCTCAGCCTGCATGCGCTCATACAGAGCCTTCGCTGAACTGAAGTCCTTGTCTAAACCTGTTGAGAGTGAGGGAGAAAACATGCAATATTTCATTCTGCACATATCAGGTCTCATGAAATAATAATGCTGTAGAGGTCTCCAAGTACTGAAACGTGTTAAAGTTCTCACGGAACGCTGGCTAAAGTAGCCCCTCATTAAGAAACATGTGTCTGTATTAGCAAACGTGCCTCCTGTGAGTCAGTCAGTGCGTTCTGCTTGTTGCATTTTTAATTGACAGACTATTAACTGACTAGATTTGCTATGTGCCTAAACGGTGGGTGACTTGAACAGGCCAGCCAGATGAATGGAGTATTAACGCCATTGTCTAGCAGATGAATCATGTAGCTTTTAACACTGATCATGCTATAATGAAACGCATTCAAACTATTCAAAGACAGAAGCAGAACAACATGTGCTGCTCCAGACGAATACAGAGTAACACAATAGCACTACTACTGTTCAAAGGTTTGGGGTTGGTAAGATTTTTTTATGTTTTTGAAAGACTCTTGATCAGCAATACAGTAAAATTGTGAAATATTATTACGCTTTTAAATAACCGTTTTCTATTTTAATGTATTTCAAAAAGTAATTTATTCCTGTGATGGCAAAGCTGAATTTTCAGCATCATTACTCCAGTCTTTAGTGTCACATGATCCTTCAGAAACCATTTAATATGCTTATTTGCTGCTCAAGAAACATTTCTTAGTATTATCAATGTTGAAAACAGCTGTGCTGCGTAATATGATTGTGAAAACCAATTCTTTTCAGGTTTTTTTGATGAATAGAAAATTAAAGCTGCAGTCTGTAAGTTTTGCCTCTTTGTCGCCATCTCTGTTTGAAAACCTGGAATTGCAGTTACAGTGGGTTGTGCTGCGGCACGGCTTCAGCTCGGATGAATCTAATGTTTTGAGGAGTATGTGTGGCAGTCAGTCACCGCACCGGTGTGAATCCTATACTTAGTAATCACAGATTCTAGCCTACGTCTTGGAATATATGACTCAAATAAGCATTTTCACCGTATATTGCCATCTGAACAAGTAAGTAACAAGTCTGCCACGTTTGTTCTGACCAACTGAGGAAAAAAGCATTACAATAAATCGCGCTACCAATGGTGATTAAATCTAAAGATCGGTTAGCTCATATCACATCAAACCGTGCAAATTATTATTATTGTTATGCTTTATTCTCAGATTATTAATGTTAACAACATCAGCATTGCCTGACTATGAGTATAGTGTGTATTAGCGTGTAGATTTCAATTTCTGTACAGTCTAATCTCTAATTGTCATACCATTCGAATATCATACCAAGAAATTATTTTAACCCAAAAAGCAAATTATGCTCCCTTCGAACTGGTTGTCTTTAAAATACAAATCTTGTGTAATCCCAGGCTGTCTGTAATCAGAAGCACATTTAAAACTGGAATATAGTTTAATTTCATTCACATGTGTTTCATACAATCCTTTCTGGATTACAATCCGCCATCAAAATGATTTTTTGACATTTAATTATTCGAGCTGCTGTGAGAAAAGGCTATAAACGATCCACCACCTGCAGGATCCTAGCATGCAATAGCCTAGTAGCCGGGACAACTTCTTTATGTTTACAGACGTGACGTAATGACGCAGTGGCATGCTCGAATTTCCCGCGAAAACCTACCCGTACCACTCAAATTAGAAAACTTTATTATAAACTAACCGTTGTGAATCGGGCTAAAGTAAGGTGATAGTTTTGAACACTGGCTGGTTTTGTACTTGCTCAAATATTGATTTTGGATAATTTTTAACCCCAAAAAAGTTACGGACTGCAGCTTTAAAAAAAAAAAAACTGCATTTATTTGAAATTCTTAGAGTCTTACAAATGTCCATTTTAATCAGTTTAACACATCTATGCTGAATTAAAAAAATAATGATAATGAATAAATAAATAATAAATCTTACTGAACTGTATATCTAGCAGTGAGCAGTGTTGATGCAAACAGTGGTCTTACCATAGCATTTCACCAAATATGAAAAGATATTCTCCTTCTCTGTGAAGTCAGGAATCAGCTCAGACAGAGCCTTAATTTTGGCAGCCTGTACAGGAATGAAAATAGTGTGTCTTTATTCACAAACTGTTTGACTACATTGCATATAAACTATGTACATACACTAAATGAAAGTTCAGAGCATGAAGACTAGAACAAACTGGGTTTGTTTACCTGTCCCGGGTGCTGAGCCGCTCGCAACATGTATGTGAACATTGTGTCCTTCTGCTCATTGACAGCCGCACAGCGCTAAAGCAATCAAAGAAGCACAAGAGAACTCTAAACACAAACATTTACCCTGTATCATAACGTGTGTGTGTGTGTATTCACATGCACACGGCATATGCCCTTGAGCAAAACATAACCCCTTGCTATAAAAACAATTACTTGTATTTCCTGTATCCACACAGCAGGCAGTTAAAAGAAGGCAAAGGGGAGAGTATGAAGGTGTGTGTAACAGCATGATGGAAGCGCGTGTTTTTGAATGTCTCCATCTTCCATTACATCCTTTAGCACTCAGTGCAGAGCTCTATAGTTGAGGGTTAATTATACAGCTAATAAGGGAGTCAGGCAAATAACCACTTATTTCTTTATGAAAATTAAAATGTACAGTGTCCGCCCAATTTAAAGTACAATTATCTACACTTAGCCGTATAAAGGCTTTGAATTGCATCGGCATGCTCCTGAGCTTTCAAGCAATTTTCACACTCTTTAATCAGGACAATATAACTCAAGTTAAATGAAGGCACAGTGAATTCTGGAAGGGTAAACTGTGCCGTACAGAAACTGTAGGTCTTGAGAAGATTCAACAACCTTTAGCAGCTTTGTCAAAAAGAAGATATTAGCAGGTATGAAGAAATCAGGCTTTTATATGAATATTCTGGGCACCTTCAAAGCAAGCACTTGCAATACAAGTTACATCGACAGCATTTGTGGCATAATAGCAATTTTTTTTTAAATCATGTAAAATGCTTAGAATGCAGGTAAACAGGATCATGAGCTTTAAAAGCTTCAAATCAGTATTGCCTGCTAAAAACATTTCATTACAATACAGAAATGTCAATTATTTATTATTTTAATATTACTTTCCAGGTTTTTCCATGACCATGATCTGTTCTAGTGCTTCTGGTTAGGTATTTCTGAGTTTTCTCGACTTTTCTCAAAATAAAATGTCAGTCAATTTCTTGCTTGCTTTACCATGTTTATATTATTATGGAAGGGAGTGAAAATGGGATCACATAGTTTAAACTAGTTTCATGTTAACACAAAGTTTAAAGATATAGTTCACCCAAAATTAAAATGATGTCATTGTTTATTAACGAAAAACCCTTAAGACTTTTGTTCATCTTTGAAATACAAATGAAGATGTCTGTCTCTCCATTGCAAGTCAATGTAACCAAAACTTTTAAGCTTCAAAAAGTTCATAAAGACATTGTAAGAGTAATTCTTAATCAAAATATGGTAAACAGCAGCTTAACCATACTTTCTTGTCGCATGTCAAGCAAGCACATTTGAGATTCCATTTACCATTTTCAACTCTATGTATGCGCATAGAACCAATGTTTATGTAAAATTAAAAAAAAATTAAAAAAAGAAGCCTACTCATCATATAAAGAGATCGTGTATTTTCAGAAGACTTAATTAAACTGCTAAATTCATATGGATTTCTTTTGAGATGTGTTTATGAACTTCTTGAAGTGTGAAAGTTTGCTTACAAGGACTTTTAATGGAAGAGATCTCTCTGGTTTCATTCAAATTATCTTCATTTGTGCTTCAAAGATGAAGGAAGTCTTGTGGTTAGTGTATATTTTCATGTCTTAATCTTTCAAACCTTCCTGTTTATTATTTCCATTGCAGGGGCCTTACTCTAACAAAACTGATCTTAATTTGTAATTAACCTGGAAAATGCTGCTGTAAAAAAAAAAAGTCTGAATCTCTTCTGAAGAAAAACATCATCCTGTCTTGTGTGTTTTGAAATCGCTGGACTGCCCTGTGCTTTCTCTGGGTTCAGTGCCAATGAGGTCACATTACAAGCCAGTCGTGAAAGCTGTGTGTTTCTCTTGCATCTGCTAATTTAAAAAGCTGAGGGGTCTGGGAGGCTTTTAACAGGCTGCTATATTAAAATGAATGGAGGCTGAGGTGCCTTCACGACAATCAGAGCAATTAAAACTGCAGCCCAGCAGCTTCACTCCTGAGAGATACTCTCTGATGCAATTCACGACACCTACAACACAGCGAACAAGACCAAACCGAATATGCTGATCTGAGACTTTCTGTAAAATCTTATGATATTTAGCATTCCATCTTGGGGACGCTGAGAAGCAAAGCTTCCTGTTATTTCAACATCTCAAAGGATTTTACTCACTCCTGGGTTTAGTGGTACCTTAATGCAACCATTTTGTTCCTCAACTCGCTAAAGTGCTTTCTGAAAGAGGGAGAGGAAAGATCTTACTTACACAAGAGTATCTAAGCATGCAAAAACGACTGAATGATTAAAATATGAGACAGGGAGAGGTCAGAAAGAGCAGCTATCGCTTGAGATGGAATTGTAGCAAGTGACAGGGTCAGCCAGTTCCAATACCATCTCGAATTAGATTCAGCAATTTAGCAAGGTCGTCACGGAGTACTCATGCATATCTTGGTTTGAGAGAGACGGTACCTGCAGGAGGAACTTGGCCTCTTCTGTCCTGCCCGTGTCCAAGTAAATCAGGAAGAGGTCTGTAGCGGCTCTGTAGGAGGCAAAGTGATTGCAGAGCCTTTCCGCCATGGCACTCACTGGACGTAGAGAGAGATGTCAATCAATCACATGCTTCGACGGTGATTACTATGTTACAACACATCAGCGGGTGCTGTAATGTTTCTCCAATCCAGAAACTCACAAACAAGGGCTAGAAGTCCGTTCAGAAGTACTCAAAGAACACAGTTGTGTATCAGTGGCTATCAACCTTTTTGACTTCAAAAAGCCCATCCGAAGACTCCTCTGCCATGGGAGTACTATTCCTATGTACTATTGAATTTTAAATATAAACCCTTGTAATCTTTAATCAAAAACATTAATGTGCCACCACTCCCTTGACTTACATGAAACAATTTAATTCGCAACGCTCACATTCTGCGATCAAATGGATGGACAAAAACAGGTAGTTATACGTTTTTACTCTCATTCAATAGCCGTTTTACTCTATGTCAGAACAGGTTCCAACTTCCATTTCATGACGACTTTAACAAACTAGGAGTGTTAACATTAAAATAACTAACCAACTGCATTTTAAATAATATTAAAATAAAGAACTAACCGTATGTTCTTCAAAAACAATTGCTGTTGATGGGACAGATTGAAATGAGAAATATGTCGGCTTACTTTAACATGACTTTTTAAATGACTTATTTTAAGCACTTTCTTAAATATTTTACTATCATCTTGTAGCCCCTTTCTCTGTCAGAAAAAAAAAAATGCAAAAATTGTACCTTTTGGGATACAACAGCCACTGGTGCAATGGGGGCAACTTTGTATTGACCTCTTAAAAAAGTGCACATTACTACCTTAAAGCAGTAATAAGCTACTCCTATGGGGTAAATAAAGTACAAAAATGTCACTTTGAGACTGCCCCAGGATGTCCCGCTAAAAGCCCACTTATTGCAGTTTTTGTTTTTGGAGGTGTTGGAAGTTTGCCGAGCATCTCTGGTTGAGAACCACTGATACTGATGAAGAGGTGGTGTGTGGGTCTTACATTTATCTAGTACAGCATCGTTGTTGGCATCTAGAACTTTGCGGAAGACAAAATAAATACTGGATTTCTGATTCTCTGTGTTCTGGATGTAAAAGGACTCCAACAGCTCCACCGCACTGTCAATGTCCTCACTGCAGAGGGAGAAAAGAGAGTTCATACTTGGTGTTAGTGACTTGAACAAACTCCTTTATAGAGCCAGAAACACTCCACTAACTTTGTTAGGGATCCAATATAAAAATAAGGCATGCCTTTGAAAAAAAAAATCAGAGGAAATTGTTATGAAAACCAATGCCTTAACCTCTAGTATTCAACTCATACAACACATTTGTGCTATGGACATGAATGATTAATAATTCCCATGGCTGGTGTGACAATTTTCCAAGTGATCAGTATAAGAATTTTCACCTGGTTTACAGAATAAAGCAATGGGTTAAAAAACAACTGCATTTGCTTAGACTTTTACTGAAGGAGGGTATCAAAGCCATATTTAGTGACCAAAATATATTATAGGCGGCCCTTTTTTGCATCCGAAAAATATATCTTTGGTTCAAAGTGTATAACTAAAGACAGGCAGGTGGAAAATGGCAAGCCATGTGAAAATTTCCATTCCATTTCTGCGTCTCTTCCATCCCCGACCTTCATTTACACAACAGTAAGTGCATAAAACTTTCATCGGCCACATTAATATTCCCGACCTAGCCATAGATTGTTATTCCTTGCCATTCCCAAAGTCTTAAGACAGTGTAGGACAGCGGAAGAGCAAAGAATTCCTCACGGCTGATTGGGCGGCTTCCCGTTTGCACTGCTTCGTCCTGTCGGGGTGAACTCTGACCCCCGGGTGGACCTAAGCGACAGTGACACGTGTGCTGTGTGCGGCTGAGTCAAACTGACTGGTTAAGAGGCGAGGCGGGGCTCCGGAAACTGGGCAACACATTAGTGCAGCCCACTGTGAATTATTCAGACTACATAGTCCTAGCCATCACAGCAGATTTGAGCCTTTAATAATAATGGGTGGAGAGGGGTGAAGGGGATGGATTAAAGGTAAGATGAAAGAACAGAAGATGAAATTGAGGTGTAAGAAAAGGCCACATGAGCGGACGGTCCTTTGTAGGAACAACAAATCTGCGATGACACCAATTTTTAGTCAAGGTCAAACCACAGAAAGGGCACATATTTCATGTTATTTACAGAAACAAGGGTGCTTCACGTTGTTCTTTTCATGAATTTGTTTTCACAAAAATAACCAAGAAAAGTTTGTGCGGGCGGAATCTAATCTCACCCGCCAGACAGTCTGCTAGTGCTCCCTTTGTTAGAAACACTGAGCATGTGGTTCAGAGTTTCTGAGATAACAATACATCTATAATCAAGTCTTTGTCATAGTCAATCACAGTCTTAACCTCTGTGTCATCTGCTTCCCTCCAGCTGCCAGGTATGTGGTGCCAATTTTAGCTGCATTTCATTTAACTGTGCATCCACTTTAAACACATCAGACAGACTGCTCATCTCGAGTATTTCGAGCAGCTCTAGTAGCTGAGCCAATGAGATCTTTTGAGTCTTGTAGCTACACACTAGATTTTGGTGCATTGCATTGATGCCATAATGTTAGGGTGTTATGGGGGGTTGCCAGTGCGTTCTAGGTGGTTGCTTCCACAAGTGTCTATTGATATTCTGGTTATTACATATGATTTATGTCCCAATGTATGCCTTTTGACCAATGAGCTGCCATGATTTTTCAGCTGATTTTTCAATTGTTCTTAATTACAGGATTAAAAAATAATTTTTTTTAACAAAAAAAAGTTTTTTGAATAGATTTTTGTGACATTATTATTATTATAAATTAAATGAGATATTTAATTCATAATAAATGAATTTATAATAAATTAGCTTACTGTTTTCACTACAAGCGTTAACTAGAAAAAAAATCCTATTTTTTTCCATTTCCATGGTTCAAGATTTCCAAAGAAAATCAGAGTTTAAAAACGTTCTGGCTTTTCTATGGCTGCATAATTCACTACCGGTCATAGGTTTGGGGTCTGTTTTTTTTCTTTTGAAATTAAAGAAATTAACATTTAAAAATACTTTAAAAAAACTATAATAATGCTGTTATTTTTAACTTTCTCTTCAACAAAGAATTTCATAGAGAATCATAGTTTGTGCAAAAATATTACACAGCATAACTGTTTTCAACATTGATAATATTCGATATTTCTTTAGCACCAAATCTACATATGAGAATAATTTCTGAAGGATCATGTGACACTGGTGTAATGGCTGCTATAAATTCAACTTTGCCATCAGATGAATACATTTTTTACAAAATTTTCAAATAGAAATACGTTATTTTGAAATGTAATATTTCACAGTATTACTGTTTTTAATCAAATAAACGCGGCACGAGAGACTACAAAAAACATAAAACATCTTACTGACCCCAAACAGTTTGCGGATTTGCAGTTTTGTTTAGTAAGGAGTTCATAAGCAATAACAGCAAATCTTGCCTTAACCAAAAAAAAACAAACATACTTTTTAATATGAGCGAGAGCAGTATTGTTGACAAATAACATGCTGGACAGCTTGATGGAGCCTAAAGTCTTCACCAAGGCCTCCACTTCCTGGATGTCCTGTGAATTTCCTTCATTTGCGAGACCCTGGACCAGTCGAGTGATGGCCAGCTGAGTGGGCACCTGGTCAGCCTGTAACATGCCCTTAAGAGTTCCCATTGCATCTGTGAGGGAGATCATGTGGTCAGGTTTAATAAAACAAAGCCTTGGAAGAAAATATGGCGTTCCCCAGTATTCAACAGTAACTGGGAGAACAAATCCACTTTTGTAGTCACCTTTCATCTGGCATCTCTTCACCTGAGAGATGATGAGAAGGTTGTTGGCATTGTCACTCAAACTGAATCCAGGAATATGATCAGTGGCACTGAGAAGACAAGAAAAAAAAGATTGAAAAGGTATCGGTTGAACACATCTGTAGTTTGTGTTGTGGGATCAGCTGTATTTATGAATAATACATGATGTTGTGTATGTGTGTTGATGCTGAGAGCCTTTTTTTTTCACTGCTCATCTTAAAATTGTGGGCATACATGTGTGTGAGACTGAACAAATCCAACAAATCTGGATCCACTCTCCACGTCCGTTTTTCCTCTCATTCGTCACTTAAACCTCAATCAAAGTCTTCTTTTTTTATTACCCTCACTGGCCAGATTAATCCGGCCGCCCGATTGAGCATCAGCCACCGCTCCTTATCTCAACGGCGACCGGCCAACAGCCGCTCACACGGCAGATTGGCCCAGAGACCAGAGTCAGAGTTACTCTTATCAATCCCAAGAAAATCTTTGTGTCCTTCTCCTTACTCTCGTCTAGTGCTTTAAGCGCTGGACAATCCCATCCCTCACTTCTCTCTTCCATTCCCAATCCCCTTAATCTGTCCTTAAAGCACCCCGCTGGCCAAGACCAACGTCCTGCCAAACATCTGCATGAAGTCCCCCACACACACACACCTTATATGCATGGTTTTCAATATACTGGCCATCATAAATAACAGTAAAGCATAGTACTATTTATTTACAAGATTATCCTATTTAAATATTTATAGCATAATTAAAGTAGTCTGAATATATTACCTAAAATGTGTAATGTAATGGATTGTTACTAACTACAATTTTTGTCATGTAATTTGAAATCGGTAACAGACTACAATTTTCAAGTAATCTACCCAGCTCTGTATATATATACAGCTTCTAAAAACTTGGTTTAAAGTACTTTTGCAACAACAAAACTATAGTGTAATGCAGTGGAAGATCATGTTCCATCCACGAATAGGGTCAGTTAACACCCACCGCAATGGCTATTGCGTGATAGCCTGGTATACAGACATTTCTGAATGCTTCCTGAAAGCATGCACAAGATTATAGTGGTGATGGCTTTCTTTCATAAGGATATATCATCAGACATATAATACGACCTAGTGAAACATCTGAGCTTTATGGATAGATCAAAGATCAGCACAAACACAAAGACCTATTACTAAACGGCAAAGGACTGTTATTTTTGCATCTTGTCAAGCTCTTCTGAGAACTCGTAGATTATCTAGTAACTCTGAAAGGGCTCAAACCATAAGACATGTATGCGTGTGTGTGTTCAGCTAGAAGGAGCTTATCAGCATTCATCCGTTTCAATTCAAGAAGATTTTCTGATGCTGCAAAATTGGGTTCAACAGCCCTGACCTTAAAACCTGTGATTTAGCAACCTGCAATACAAATTCAAACATATTAGATGGTGAGACCCCCATAGACAGACTCACATGTTTTTGACAGCCATGGCATCCTCAATGTTGCCTGAGGCTAGGAGGGTTTTGATGACGGTATCATATGGAGCAGGGCTGAGAACCATGCCCATGCTATCTGCTTCCTTCAGGATGTCATTGGCCTCTGAGAATCAGAAACAACAGGGGTAACGTAATCTACTCAGACCACTACAGATAATAATGCATATGACCATCCTTTAACCATCCTGAAAATTTATCTTGAGACAGTCACACTAACTTTTACTATAAAGCTACTATGAAGCAATTTTAAAGCTATTATATATAATTATATAAATAAACCTGACTTGACTTAATCTAAGCCGACAGCTACAAATATATTATATTAATATATGAAATATTATATACACAATATTGTATATAATGTTTTATTTAGATTATATTATTATACCTTTTCATTTTTATTTTATTTTATATTTAATTTAATGTATGTATGTGACTATGTAACGTTTTGCTGTCTAGTAGCTGAAAAATAAAACTACAAGTTACAATAGACAAAAGTTACAATAGACAAAAGTTGAATAGCGCAAGAACGCCATTTCCTGAAAAATCCGTCCTGACAACTCTATGGCTTACCATAGTGATTTAAGGGAAGTTACATAAAGTTACATAGAGAACTTACCTTGTGCTTTGCCCTTCTTGCAAAGAGACAGGAGTTTAAGTCTGTAGTCATCAACTGTGGCCTCTTTAGGGGGTGAAGCAGCAACCCTTTTACGAGGGGCAGCCTGAACCATGGGGCTAGATTTGATCTCTTGCTCCAAAAACATCTCAGGCTGACCTATGACCTCCTCAAACCACACCTACACATAAAACAGCCACATCATTACACCATAATGCTTCCTTAAATTCTGGATATTAATTCAAGTTTAATTAATTCATGGTTTCCACCTGCTACAGAGATGATAAGAAGCAGGACAATAAGGACTAAATGTATCTATAAAGGTGGTTTTCAACTGCCTTTGTTTTAGGATTTGTGTAACAGATTTTATATTGGACATTGAATAGGTTATTTTACCTCAGGCACCTCGAAAGGCACCTCCTTGTCATTGTTTTTAAGGATATCAGCAAGCAAACGCAGGGTCCTCTCTCTTGGAGCCAAATTTTCCTTTTGCATTTTCATCCAGGTTGCCTCAGCCTTTTGCCAGTCATTGGTCTCCTCTGACAAGAAAAACAAAAACAAATGTCAGTGCAAAGTAGTTACGCTCATCCACTGTTTGCAGTCTCAGCTCCAACACATGAGACTTACTGCAGAGGCGTAACAAATAGTGGTACATGTCATCTCTGTCACACTCGAACAGCTTGACAGTCATGTCCACCATGTTCTCAAGGGGCTCCATCTGGGGAAAGAGAGATTCAAACAGTGATACACACTCTATTGATCTATAGCATATCACTTTTTCAGACAAAACGGCAGCGAAACACTGACCTGTTGGGCTGCAATGCATTTCTCTGCAAACCACTGCAGACGGGTTGGTCGTGCCCTTAGACCAGGAGTCTGCACATGGGTAAAAAAAAGAAATGTATGAGATTTCAACAAATTAAATTGGTGCAAATCACAAACACTGCACTAATACTATCAGAGGGCCCAGTGGGCATGAACAATCATGAGAAAGGGCATATCAAATGCAAAGTATAAAATTCACTAACTGGTCAAGTTATGCCCAGGTCATCTCAAAACCAAACCAAACACCGAACAAAACAAAAGCAAACAAAACTAAACAAAACCAACATAAATCGAAACTTTACAAAAAAACAAAACCAAATCCCAACCAAAACACAAATTCTAAAAAAAAAAAATTCTAACAAACCAAAAAACAAATGGCGTAATGGTTTTTATACTGTACAAACTGTATGTGCTCTTGCCCTACACCAACCCTACCCCTTACAGAAAACTGTGCATTTTTACTTTCTCAAAAAAACTCACTCTGTATGATTTATAAGCGTTTTGAAAAATGGGGACATGGGGTAATGTGCTCATAAGTGACCTTCTCCTTGTAATACCTATGTCATACCCATGTCATTATACAAATTTGTGTCCTCATGTGCAACAAAAAACGGACGCGCGCGCGCACACACACACACAGATTTCTAAATTCACACTCTCTCTCCTCTTTGGAGGATATTGCATCAGCAGCATCCAAGCAGAATTACTCTGCAGTAAATCAGCCTCCAGGCCAAGTTCAAAATCACTCCAGCCTTCCTCAAGCCTAATCTGCTTAGCAAATAAGACCAAAAATCACCGCTACATAGTCCTTTTTTTGTGTTGCTATAAATGTAGGAGCAGCCCCTGGGCCTGATGCATAAAGCCCTGTGGGCCAAATCTTCCCTTAAGTAAATCCAGGATGATGCACACCCCCACTCCTCCAATCGTCCTATATAGAAGAGCAAATCAACACACACACACAAATTCATTTGACCCAAACAAACAAAAACACACACACACACACACACAAGCCAATACCCAAAAAGAACATCTAGGTCAGATGATTAAGAGTCTTCAAAGACAAATTGATGACAGATTTTTTTTTTTAACACAACACATGGACACTAAACAATAAATTGATACATTCTTTCTCTATCTGGATTTTAGCCTTATATAGTCAATAACAATGCTAGAAAATATAAACTAACGCCCTGCTTATGTAATTTTCTGTAATTTCTGTCAAATGATAATTTTCTATCCTGAAGTCAGACGTTTTTATGAAGAGAGTAGGAAATAAGTCCTGAAAATCTTACAAAAATAAAGCAAAAAAAAAAAAGGGTATTTTTTCCTGTGTAGTTTGCAACACTATTATTAAAATTTAGGATATACATCTTTATAAACTTATAGCAAAAAAACAAAAAAAACAATAAATAAATAAAATAAACTGTCAGATACAGTCCAGAAAGTCAAGACTTCTGGCAAATATTTCAGACACTTAAAACTATTTTTTATGCTTGCTTAATTTTGGTAATATTGGATAGTTTAAAAAACATTTAATCGTTCCCACCAAGAAAAAACCCCAAAAAACTTTGGGTTTGTGAACCTAATGCTTCACAAAAAAGGAAACCAAAGTGTTCCATTTTCATGACCTTCACAAAGTTACAGTAAACAAAAACTCCCCATCATCATGCTGAAGATGCCATCATTCTCTCAAACACAGGTCACACACTCTGAAACACTCACACACACTGTGACAACCATTTTAATTACAGCAAAACCTTAACCAGCATTTCACTTAATTACCACCATTATTAATAATCTGACAATTATAGACAGCACAATCACCTGACCAGCACTCCATCACTGCACTTAAAGTTTCTATTAGAGAGTGGAGTAGAGCTCCGTGTCTGCTAATGCTACTCAGATATCAGTGTTTTTAATTATCCAGCTCTGGATAGAAGAGAGGATGTGTGGAAAATGCTCCAGGGAACGAGTGGGGCTTTTGACCTGTCAAGCACAAGGATGCTCGACGAGCCACCATTAATCACCAACTTTTAGAGAGTTTATAGTGGAGGGAATTCAGAGGAATAAAACTATTGTAACTACCAGGTGTAGAAAGATACAACAGAGCTTTGTTTTCAATGACTAATAGCAACTCTAATCAAATAGGCCTACACCTCCCAATCAAGCCAGTCAAGACTAGATAATATAGTTCAAATGGCTTGCAATATTTACTCAAAATTAATAAAAAATAAAAAACAGAACAGAACTGATTTTAAAATGGACACAATGAGCAAATATTGTGTACAACTACAGTTCAACTGAAATTCAATCCATTTCCAGCAGTGCTTAGTCATTTTCTAGTAAAATACTGCAAGACGTGGCATAATAGCGGCTAATCAGAGAAAATACTTTGTTTAATATAGTTGTAATGAGGCTGGCATTCAGGAATAAAAACTAATTTGCAGACATGCAATAAGGTACAAGTCATCTCATCACCGCTGCTTAAAAAAATGCATGGAAGAGATGCAAACAGCACTACACATTGTGCCAGTATCAAGTCTTCATGTTGTGATTATTGCTGAAGGGGTATTATCATCACGGTACTGTTTTATATTACAAAACAGGCTGAAATTTTTAAACTGTTGTTGTTCTTAACAAGTTTAAATTACTTTTTAAAACACCAAACTACCCTTTAAAGAAAGTAACTTTAAAAAGAACCATGAACATTTTAAAATCTATATAAACATTTGAATAAACACACAAATAATAATAAAAAATTTTTTTAAATGAATAAAGTAAATAATCTAAAACATTAAATGAAAATGTTACATAATGTACATATTAAAAATATATAGTTAAATGGTCAATATGATTTAAAAAAGTACAAATATTTAAAAGAAACTGCACTGGTCAAAAACTACTTTAAACCAAATTGCCCTTTTAAATATGTAATATCACACACAAAAAAACTAAACTAAACGAACTAAATGAACATTTAAAAACAAACAAAAAAATGAAATAAATATGTGCATTTGTTTTGCAATTTTTGTCACAAATTACTGATTGTGAATCACAGGCCTGTTAGTTACGGCATTTCTTATTCAATAAACACAGGCTCCAAAAAATAACACTTAAAAATGTATGAATTACACTGTATGAGAAAACAAACCAAGTGACATCTGTAAACAAATTATACTAGAGAATTTCTCAGAACTGGTTTTAATAAAAACGGACAATATATCTACTGTTTTACAATCTGCCTTTCTATGAAATGTTTTGCTTCTAAAGTGTGTTTGTGGTTTAAAAATAAATGACCTGTTTCATATTTTGTTATAAAATATAAAGACAATCATATTTTTTTCGGTAATACATCTGAAATAAAATGAAATATAAATATCAGAAAACAATTTTAAAAATAAATAAAATTAGAAATGTCGCCTTGCCTAACTGAACTAAATAAGTTTAAGTAAACTCAAATTAAAATGGAAATAAATGTATTAAACTTGAATAGAAATATTTTTAAATAAATAAATGACAAAAGCACAAAAAATTACTAAAACTAAAATGAAAACTGACAATAATAATAAAAAGGCCATTAAAAAATACTTAAGAATAAATAAAATGCATGTTAACTGTATATTTGAGCTAATTTCACATTCACTAATTTCGCTTTCAGCTACCAATGGACACAGAGTTGACACAATTCACCATGTTTACATCCATTCTGTAGAATTCAATCACTTCCCGCTTCACAAGCATGAATGAAATTGAAATTTTTCCTAAAAATCAGCTTCAAACATACAAAATTAAATAACTGTTTAAAAAAGAAAAAAGAAAAAAGAGATTTCATCTGGGCCTGGGCCCAAGTCATCATCCTTTCTGTCTTTGACCAATATTTTGGTCAGTATATAAAGATACTCAAGATACTCTGACTATCTTTTATTTAAATATGACTCCAGTATATCATAGACAAATCAGACAGGTACTACAGAGTTCCTAGCGGAGGCTGTATCCAAGCAGGCCTGGCTGCTGTGAGCTCTGAGATGGCTTTCCCCCACTGGAATGTGTGGCTGCCAGTCACTGTGTGTGTGTGTGATGTAAACGTTCACAGTTTATCAGAGTCTCTGCTGAGAGTCGCTCTGATCTCTCCGTATCTGCTCCTTAATGAACCTGAGCTAAATTGGAAACCTTATCGCGCACAAGGCAGCAATTAAAGCGTGCACGTGCCAGTGTGGTTGTGGCACTCGAGTGACAGAAAAACAAACAGTCTCGGTGGGGCACCCAGGAAACCTGTATGTGTATGTGTGTGTTGACTCTAGCGCTATCAGTGAAGGTGTATTGCCAACCTCAATATCCCACAGCGGGGAGGGGGAAAGGCACTTACGCAGTGCACCGCATGGCCCAGGCAAATCCAGTAATTAGCACAGGGCGCATAATTAACATGCAAATTAGTTGATCTGCTTAAAAGCTGCTCTTACAAATAGACCTGAACGGATGGGGGGGGGGGCAAACTTGTGGAAGTTAATTCCTTTTCCCACCATGCTACATTTTGCTATAAGATAATGACAGATTATATGAAATGAACAGTGAAACGACAAGCTTAGGGAGGAGTGGAGCTCTGCCCTTTACAACCGGACATTGTTATTAATGTTTGTTTTCCGATTATATTCATGTTGTTTTCAAACTCACTACTTGTTGGGGTCAACCATAATTTTTTATTTTTTGGCTGAGATCCTTTTATAATGCTAGTCAAGGTTTCTTGTACCAAAAATGTGTAATTAAGGTCTGTCATGACAACTCTCGGAAGATTTTAGCATGGTAATGGATGTGACAATGTTAATGTATTTGGTCTTGGCGGAATAGATCTGCTATGCTGCTGAATTGCTGCTGCTGTTGTAGATTATTGCTGCTGCTGCAAAGCAAGTACAGAAACTTGCTACTGCCAATACATACGCTGATACGGTGCTGTGAGTATGCTGCTGCTGCACAAATAGAACACAAAATAACCCGTAGCAGATCTATACAGGTGGAGCTGGGGAGGTGGAGGGTTTCAGAGTAACTCTGAAAGCACACTGCGAAATGCTAGTGGATGAAATAGTGGATGCTAACCAGCTATTTAAATGTAGAGCAGTAAAGCTCATTGGCTGCATATGCAACATGAACCAGTCAGCTTGTGCCAAGTAGTTTGACGCTCTAAATATCATCAGTTTGCAATAAGGACCCATCAGCCTGCGCCATCTAGAGTTGGCGAAGGCTGACTCTGATTCCCTGACATTTTTCAAGCAACAGCTGAAAACTCACCTCTTTCGTCACTATCTGACTTCATCCTAAAAAAATATTTTTCTCTTTTCTTTTATCTTTCTCTGTCTAGCTTGTACTTATTTGAACAATGCTTGAAACTTGCTATGACGAGCACTTCCTGTGTCTATTTGCCTCTTTAAGATGAATCGCTTGATGTATCCCCAACTGTAAGTCGCTTTGGACAAAAGTGTCTGCTAAATGAATACATGTAAAAGTAAAGTTGTAAAAAATCTAATTGTAAAGTAAATGTAAATGTAAAGTAGTGTAGCAGCATTTTTCCGCTCTGTTAAGTCTGCATTACATTGTGACAGGTTTACAAAACAATCTGCACTTGAATGCTCTGCACAAACTTTTAAGGTTCAACTTAACCTTTCCAATAGATTCAAAATCTGCATATAACTTTTACCTTCCCGAGTCAGTTTTGAGCTGGTGGAACTTATAAAACATTCTTTACTTAAAGAGCAGGTCACATGGGTTTTTGAAAAATATCTCTTTTGCAGTTTATAATGTAGCTATTCTTAAATGAAAGCAATCTGCAAAGTTGTTAATCAAAAAAGTGCATGATAAATAAAGATATTTTCTCTCAAAAGAGAGAGTCGATTCTGAATCGCCTTAACGAGTCGTCATATTTTCGAATAATTTGCCTGTTACCGGTATGCGTCACTGGGTAACACATTTGCATAATCCCCGCCTGCCCACAAACACTTCCACTAGTTAAGTGTGTTTACATCATGTCGAGAAGACGCTGTGTTCAAGGATACCACAGAAATACAATTCGAACCTTTTGTTGTGTGCTCGTCATTTTACCAAGGACTGCTTCTCTAATCTCGGCTTTTATCTTTATACATCTTATACAATCAAGTGTTTGCGATAACTGGCAATGAGTCTTTCACATCGCTGTGGAGGAATTTTGGCACACTCTTCTTTGCAGAATTGTTTTCAATCAGTCACATTGGAGGGTTTTCGAGCATGAATGGACTGTTTAAGCATCTCAATCGGATTTAAGTCCGGACTCTGATTTGGCCACTCCAAAACCTTAATTTTATTTTTCTTGAGCCATTCAGAGGTGGACTTGCTTGTGTGTTTGGGATCATTGTCCTGCTACATAACCCAAGTGCGCTTGAGCTTGAGGTCTCAAACTGATGGCCGGACATTCTCCTTCAGGATTTTCTGATAGAGTGCAAATTCATGGTTCCGTCAATTATGGCAAGTCACCCAGGTTCTGAAGTCCCTTAATAAATTAAATCATCATTTAAAAACTGCATTTTGTATTTACTTGCATTATCTTTGTGTAATATTTAAATTTGTTTGATAATCTGAAACATTAAAGTGTGACAAACATGCAAAAAAACAAGAAATCAGGAAGGGGGCCAACACTTTTTCACACCACTGTATACCTAGCGCAGCTTTAGGTTTCCAGGTAAAAAGCACGATATTACTGTCTTACTGAAGTAGTTCTGATAATTTGCTGTGAACCCTCTATTTCCTAAGAATGTGTT